TCTACTTCCTACAAAGATCATTATAGAAGAAAATGTGATCAGTATTACATTTGTCTTTGCCCGAGATGATATCAAGATTAGTTAGTGTCTCCTATTCAATTCGACACCAGCATATCTTGTGAATTTGACCAACTTTTTGGTCATACCAATATTACACTTGAATCCCCACTGAGTTTTTGTTCTCAAATGGTCTTGTGACATCATTCAAAAGCTTTGGACACTAGGCAAAGAGATTCAATGTTTGAGAACATCTGAGCAGAAGCTACAGGAAAGGATGAATGCACTGTCAAATGTTTTACGAACCTGCTATTCTGATGCTGAACCAATGTTACTATCATATGGTTTCCATTTATTGATCCAAGATGAAGTTTGTATTCTTCAACCCCAAGATTAAAAGTGAGATATAATGAAGATTTCTTTCCAATGAAAGCTGAAAATTTTGACAACAAGAAACTAGTGGAGCCCACTAAGATCAAACAATAGGTTGTTGTTAAACATCTTTACATGATATGGTTTGAGTTGTTTAGTTCGAAATCTGATTATATGTGGAGACATGAAAGGAATTGGAATAAATTTTCCTTGTGATGTTTCAAGAGTTAAATTAGAACAGACTCTACTCTCCTAATTAATCCCTGCTGAGTCAGGCATATCTACATCTACACTCTTCAAAGATGATAGATTCTCTTTTTAAAGATGACAGATTCTCTTTTTAAAGATGAAAGCTTTATGGGATTTACACACAAGTCCAAGCAAATAAAGTTGGTTTTATCCAAGACAAAATCGGGCATCAGGGTCATAATTTTGACTACAACAAGAGTTCCACAAGTGAAACATTTCTTCTAAGACTTTCATGAAGCAAAGAAGACAGCAAAGATACAAGTTGATCAGATGATTCTGCATGAATGCAAGCTTGATAACATAAGTTGCTACACTGATATCCAGAGGTAACCCTGGCAATAAATGATGAAGTGAAGGAAGACCAAGTTCACCACTTTGAAGTCAAATGAAGATTGCATCAACATTCATGCATTCATAAGAACATCATTTGCACAATAGACAATGCATTACATTGATACATCTGAGTGCATTCAAACATGAAGTTTTACAGATCTTCAGAAGAACGAAGAAAAAAAAATACCTTATAAGAAGAAGGTATTCAAAACCAAAAATGCAGGAATCATGCAAACATCTGAAGAAGAGATGGACGCAATCCACAAAAAAATGAGCATTATCTTGAGATTAGGGCATGTTACCCAATCAACATGTTATCTTGAAAAATAATGAGAAAACGATTTCCATAGTTTTTCATTCAATCTTTTTTAAAAAAATTGTTGAATAGTAAGAAAACGATTTCCATAGTTTCTTACTTAGTAAACTATTTCCCACATCTGTAAGTCCTTCAGTGCATGATGTTTCCAAAAAGCCTTCGGGAGCTTTTTGATGTTTCAAAGCCTTCGGGTCATCTGTAAGTCCTTCAGTGCATGATGTTTCCAAAAAGCATTCGGGAGCTTTTTTGATGTTTTCAAAGCCTTCGGGTCATCTGTAAGTCCTTCAGTGCATGATGTTTCCAAAAAGCCTTCGGGAGCTTTTTGATGTTTCAAAGCCTTCGGGTCATCTGTAAGTCCTTCAGTGCATGATGTTTCCAAAAAGCCTTCGGGAGCTTTTTGATGTTTTCAAAGCCTTCGGGTCATCTGTAAGTCCTTCAGTGCATGATGTTTCCAAAAAGCCTTCGGGAGCTTTTTGATGTTTCAAAGCCTTCGGGTCATCTGTAAGTCCTTCAGTGCATGATGTTTCCAAAAAGCATTCGGGAGCTTTTTTGATGTTTTCAAAGCCTTCGGGTCATCTGTAAGTCCTTCAGTGCATGATGTTTCCAAAAAGCCTTCGGGAGCTTTTTGATGTTTTCAAAGCCTTCGGGTCATCTGTAAGTCCTTCAGTGCATGATGTTTCCAAAAAGCCTTCGGGAGCTTTTTGATGTTTCAAAGCCTTCGGGTCATCTGTAAGTCCTTCAGTGCATGATGTTTCCAAAAAGCATTCGGGAGCTTTTTGATGTTTTCAAAGCCTTAGGGTCATCTGTAAGTCCTTCAGTGCATGATGTTTCCAAAAAGCCTTCGGGAGCTTTTTGATGTTTCAAAGCCTTCGGGTCATCTGTAAGTCCTTCAGTGCATGATGTTTCCAAAAAGCATTCGGGAGCTTTTTTGATGTTTTCAAAGCCTTCGGGTCATCTGTAAGTCCTTCAGTGCATGATGTTTCCAAAAAGCATTCGGGAGCTTTTTTGATGTTTTCAAAGCCTTCGGGTCATCTGTAAGTCCTTCAGTGCATGATGTTTCCAAAAAGCCTTCGGGAGCTTTTTGATGTTTTCAAAGCCTTCGGGTCATCTGTAAGTCCTTCAGTGCATGATGTTTCCAAAAAGCCTTCGGGAGCTTTTTGATGTTTCAAAGCCTTCGGGTCATCTGTAAGTCCTTCAGTGCATGATGTTTCCAAAAAGCATTCGGGAGCTTTTTTGATGTTTTCAAAGCCTTCGGGTCATCTGTAAGTTCTTCAGTGCATGATGTTTCCAAAAAGCCTTCGGGAGCTTTTTGATGTTTTCAAAGCTTTCGGGTCATCTGTAAGTCCTTCAGTGCATGATGTTTCCAAAAAGCCTTCGGGAGCTTTTTGATGTTTTCAAAGCTTTCGGGTCATCTGTAAGTCCTTCAGTGCATGATGTTTTCAAAAAGCCTTCGGGAGCTTTTTGATGTTTTCAAAACCTTCGGGTCATCTGTAAGTCCTTCAGTGCATGATGTTTTCAAACATTTCCATCCTGCTCGAAAGAAGCCAAATGAAAAAATTATTGTCTTTTTCGTCTTTGCTCTATTCTTGTTAACACAAGGATGAGCAAAGAGGGGCAGCTGTAGACATCATTTTTTTCATTTAAAATTATTATTATTATTATTAGTATTATTATTATTATAATTATAATTATTTATTATTATTATTATTATTATTATTATATATATTATTATTATATATTATTATTATTTAATAAATAATTACAACTGGACCGGCCCAATTACAAGCCAACCAGAACCGGTCCAGCCAACCAGAAACCCTAAACAATATATAAGATTTCAGCTAGGGTTTTCAAACCCTAGCTCCCAGCCGCCACTTCCAGAGGGCTCAAGCTGCCTCTCCAGCTTCCAGACGCTGCTGCCGACGCCTCCACTGCCAGATGGTCCAACCAGTCGCTGCCGACGCTGCTTTTGCCACGCCACCTCGCCGCCGTAGATTCCAGAACACCAGATGGCAGCCCAAATCGAGCTCCATGGTGAGTCACCAGCATAGCTATGGTGACTCACCTAGACATCCCTCTCGGGACCGGTCCAAACAGAACCTCGTGGTGGCTATAAAAGCCACCATACCTGCGAAAGAAGGAAGAGGAGACAGCCACAGACGGCAGAGAACGAAAAAAAAAGAACGAAAAAAACAGAGGAGGAAAAGAACACAAACGAACAGCAACCAACAACCAGAAAAAAAAATAGAAAACAAAGAAAGAAGAAACTTACCCTTGGAGCCTTGACCACCGTCGGAAGCACTAAACATCGCCGGAGAACAGAAAATACCGAAGGTATTTTTGTAGATTTACTCCGATTAGGAGTCTTTTATGGAAAACAAAGACCGGAATCGGTCTTAGGGCATTTAGATCTACGTTTTGGGGGTGTTTTTGTGAATTCCGACCACCGTTACGGTGGCCGGCGGCGGTGGCCGGCGGCGGAATACGGTGGCCCATGGCCGCCGGTTTCCCTCCGGCGAGGGAAACTAGAGAGAAACCAGAGAGAACTCTGGTTCTCTCGTCTTGAGAAAGAAAGAAATGAGGCAAATGAGAAGCTTGGCCCTTCGGGCCAGGCATTCAGGGTTATAAACCCTCATCCGTGCGACGTCGTTTAAGGGGGAGGGTATCTGTGTAATTTCCATCATGGGTAAACCCTTTCCGCAGTCACTCCTAGTTTGTAACATTACAAATTAGTCATTAAAAGCAAGTTTTAATTCTTTTAATCATATCATTCAATTTTATTTTATTACATTTTAGTCATTATCAGTTTATATATATTTAGGGTAAATAACTGATTTAGTACCTTATAATTTTATTAACGTTTATTTTAATCCGATTAATTAAATAAGGCTAAATTACATTTTAGCACTTAAAGTTTTATTTATTCGAGATAGAGCCTTTAAACTTTGATAAATTTTATTTTAATCACTGATTAATTAATTAAGGATTAATTACACTATTAGTAATTTTATTTTATGATGATTCAGGTTATGTTCATAATTTTACATTTATTATTTTATTTATTTTTAATCATTGTTTAGTTATGTTTTAACTTAATTTTTATTATTTTAATATATTTTCAATCATTACTTTAATTATTGTTTTACTATATTATAAATATATACATTATTTATTTAACAATGTTTATTTATTTTCCATATCGAAGAAAAGGACAGTCTTAATACAACTGGATGTTCTATTCTGATATTTTAAAATTAAAAATTAAACAATATTATTTAAATTAATACTTATCAATATCAAAGAAAAGAGATGTCTTAAGGTACCTAGAAGTTCTTTTCCGATATTTTTAAATATTTTTTTTTATATATAATTTTGAAATAATAAGGTTATAAATTAATTTTTTTTAAAATTTTAATAATAGAGACAATTTATAATTTAAAAAGTACCAATTTTTGGGCGTTGTAGGGGTGCTAATCCTTCCCTAAACGTAACCGACCACGAATCCCTTTTTATTAAAAAGAACGAATTTTTAGTTATAAAACGCAGATCAGTTCATCTTTTAAAAATGGTTTTCTTAAAAGCTCTTTTAAAAGATAATTTTTAGGTATTCGACCTACCTGACCCAAAAGGCCGATGGCGACTCCTAAATTATTTTCAAAATTATTTATTAAACATTAATTTCCCCGCCAAATTTTAATATTTCGTGCCCGGACGAAAACCGGTTACGACACACCAATTTACTTTACAAGCATCGATTCTTTTCCTTTTCTCTCTCGAATCAAAGAACAAAAGGGTTTAAACGGAGGGACCGATGATAAAAAAAAAGACATGAATATGTGGGGGTACTTAAAGCTTTTTTTAGCCTATGGCTTGTGAGCGCAACTTGTTCGCGACATACAACAAATGGCCGATGTTTGCTGAGGGATAGTTTTGGAGAAGCTTAAGATTGGAAGTGAAATCCCCGGCTAGCAAGCGCCTGCGGATGAGAATCAACATCGCACAGCATACCAGAAGCAATGTCTCCTGCAAATACATATGCATGTTTGGTGTTCGAATAAATCCAAATCCAATCTAGAACAGTGCAAAATCAACTGTTATTATTGAAAGGCTATAATATTAAAAAGGACTAATTGAAAATAAATTGTTCAAATTCTCTCTTTTTTTTCATTTAAATGCCTAAATTTATTTTTGTTCAAAATAAATGTCTAATGTTTCATTCCACTATTATTTTAAAAGCGGACTGTTAACATACGTTAAAAAAATCTACCACGCAGTTATTTCTTGACACATGACATACAATTTAATTATCTTTTATTTCTCAAAATAAGAAGGCCTAATTTTTCTTATTATTTTTTAAGAAACCCTAAACCCCTAAAATTCCTAATTTTTCAAAAATCTCTAAAATCTCATCGAATGTGGCACCTCGTAGATAATTTGTGACGACAAAAGAGTGGGATAATCGGTAGGACCAATGACAGAAGGGGTGGACGGTGATGGTTAATCTGATGGCATTATATGGGATTTAGGAAATCTAAGGTTTTTAGAATTTAGGGATTTTTTGAGAAAATTAAGAATTTTAGGGTTTTTAAAAAAATAAAGAAAAGTAAAAAAACCAATCCGCATGTCATAAATTCATTGGATGACGGATTTTTTAACAAATGTTAATAGTTCGAGTTTAACATAGTAACAGAATACAATGTTAGGCACCAACTTAGACCAAAGACTTTAGGCGCCTAAAACAAAAACCAAAAAAAAAATTGACACTTATTTTTCAAACTGTTAAAAAGTCACTGAATCTTACAGCTTTGTTCATATTCTTTGTTACACCTATCCCTTGATGTGAACACAAGTAAACATTAACTTTCAAGTGAAAAGCCGATCTATGTTAAGGGTTAGCTCAAGTATAAATTAAAGCTTAGGGTTTAGGGTAAAAGTAGTTATTTACAAGTTACAATGTTAAGGATTTTTTAGGTACATAATTATATGACAATTGGAATAACTAATACAGCAAACTAACAAGATTTGAGCACAAATTCTAGAGATAAGAGAGGTAAAATTGTAATCATACCAGAGGACCTTCCGGGTCACTAAGAAGCGTGTCCCATATGTGAAGGCTATCCGCAAAATTGAATTCCTGTGTCAAGAGCAGAGTGATCCACCGAAATGCGTAAAACTGGGGATTGACCTGTGATGTGCATACACGATGGTTACATTTAAGCTGAACTAATTACTATGACAAGAAGCGGAAAATTACAAAGCTGAAGGGACTGTGGCAGCTTGCTGTTAAGAGGAAAGCATGAGTTGAGAAATAAAAGATGACGAGGACGATGTGCAAATAAAACATCAATTAGCTAAAGAAGCTGGTTTAAATTTTGTAATGATATCTTACTTTAGTTGTGACCTCTAGATGCCGCCAAAGCTCTTCATCATGTTCCTTCAGAAGCTGTGACAACCTAGAGATTGTGGAACGAATTCCCACAATGCTGTTGTCAAGTTGCTGGCAGAAATGATCACGGAATCCGCTCAATAACTCAACAAAACAAAAGAATGTATCAGCTTCGGCAGCAGCCTGCAAGACTTAGAATATGGAAAATGTTGAAGAAATTACTCGACCGATACTTTAATCATTTATCAAAATAACAAAGAATTTTATATATGTTATTCTTACAACGGGTGTTGATTTTGCAATTGGTTTATGGCTATCTGTTGGCATATGTACTCCATACATTTTGGTGCATATGACATATAATGTCCGATAATTTAATAACAATAATGATAAAAAGAACATTACCATATTGTTTTCCAAAAAGCTGCAATCTATTTGAAAGTTTTCTTCGTTACAATTTTTTTGGCTCTGCTAGATATGAAAGATGGAAAATTTGTTAATCAAATGGTTAATATCCATAACCACTTTCCTATTTTAATGCTTAACCATTAGTTAATAAATTTTCCATCCCCAACCTTTTCGATACCAAACAGAGACTTTGGGTCGCTTGGGGCAGTAAAAGGGACCGATTTGCAGATATGCAAAAGTAAAAATGGCAATGACCCCAAAGACACTGAATCATATTCTTTATACTTTAGTATGTTAATAATTTTCTCAAAAACCTGGGATACTGATAAGGACAAACACAGGCATGTTAGAGATTTAACATAAAAGAACAGGACAGGGATGGTAATAAGATCTTACCGCCATTTCCACATCAGGGTCATTCTTGAATACATAAAATAGAGGTGCCAAGATTTCATTCATCCCTTGAACATATCTTATACCTGGATTTAACTTGGCAAAAACAATTAATATGTTTCTCATTGCATCCTGAATAAGCAAGATGCATATAAGTCAAAAATTATTTCAATTCATATCCAAACTTAAGTAAAAAAGAGCGAAACGATAAATTCAAATGAAAGAATAAAAGAAAATAAGATGCTTACCTGGTTAGATTTTGCAAGCTGTGAGTCCCCAGAGAAAAAGTGCATGCCTGGATGAGTGCGCATGACATCACGGTCAATCTGTTCTATGATTTCCGAGTCCTACAAAGACTCCCGCCCCGGAAACAAAAATTAAGAAAATTAAAAAAAAAGTTTGAGATCAATAAAAACTCCCTTCATAGATTCTATTAACAACCGAAAATCAGAACTCCTTTACATTGCTGTCACATGTACTCTAGTATATGAACATTTGAAATAATACTCAGCTCTCTTATGCTTAACTAAGCACATGATGGAAACAGAGTTGGCTGAGTTGCATGGACTAGGGTTGAGTATTCGGTTGAGTCGAGTTGACGGGTCCTATTTTAGGGTTCAAACTCAAAATTTGAGTTGACTCAAATAACTCGACTTGAATAACTCAAAATTTGAAGAAAAAATTGTTTTTTATGTTGAATCAAGTTTTACTCACCCCTAGCATGGAATGTGCCATTCCCCCCCCCCCCCACAATTTAATGCATCAATAGGAAGTTTAGATGTTACTGTATTTCGTACTATATTGCTAAACAACATTAACAATACAAATAGTAAACCCAGTCATTAAAAATAAGAAAGATCCAATACCAAAGAAGTTATTATTGGTAAACTAAAACTAAAGGTACATGATAGATTTGGCAAAGCTAAAATTCTCCAAGGCTGCATGTTATGCAAAATGCCTCAGAAATAGCTGACTTGAAGACTACTAGACTGGCTCATGTTTTCTGGCCAAAAAAAGAAAGAAAAAAGACTGGCTCATGTTTTAAAACTTAATCAATTCAAACAAGAATAACCAATTTTATATATTGTTTACATTTAACACATTCAACATTAGAAGTTCAAAAACACGAAATAAAGTATGGCTTCCAATATCATTCCAACGAGCCTAAGAACATACCTGGAAGAATTGATTCCAGACACTGCTTTTCCCAAGGCTCAAAGGATGCTCTCCATGAGTTATTTGTGATCTTGATAGCAGACCCCTGCTCTCAGATTTTGATTCATCATTGTCACAAGCCACAGACTTCTCCAGCCTCCTTGTGATTTCTGACTGACTAGCCACAGAAACATTCAGAAACCCCAAAATTCTTACAGAAAAAGAGGAAGTGAAAGACAACAACCGCAAAAGATAACACTACTTTTCAGGATGATAAACTAACTCGAGCAAAGCCATTCTATTATTAGGAAATAAACAAGTACAGTCAGCAAGAGATGGCTAAAGTTCACTTTTCTCTCATAAAAATAGTAAGTTTCATGTTCTAGCTCTCTGCTAATATCAGTTTTCTCTTTTCTTACCCACTTTATTATAGATGCAATTGGAATTTACATTAGAATTAATCAAAGCAACTAATAATATCATATTACTGACACTAGACAGTCACAGAATGAATGTCATAGTTGCATACTTGGTCGAATACACTATTTTATCAAGCAAAAAGTAAGGAAAATGACTTACAGGATTCATCAAGAGTTCTTCCTTAAAATACCTGTACTGGGACCTTTTCTTAGCTAATTCAGACGACCACTGCCCACGTTCAGGTGGTAAATACCCTAACAATAACTGCCACAATAACAAAACAACTCGTATTTCACTATTAATCGAGAAGATAACCACATTTTCCATGTAATTTCAGCATTTTTCAGATTTCTCAGCAAGCAAACATAAAAAAAAGGAATGGAAAAAAACCTACCTTCCACACAGTAGATCTAATTCCTGCACCATCAGGAATCCCCTGCGACGCAATCCTCCGCAATTCCCACATATTCATAACCTTCTTAGACAACTGGAAATAAAATTAGAAATTAGAAACCAAAAGAGAATAAAAATAAGAGTAAGAAGAAGAGAGTCAGTTAATAAAGGAGGATAAGTTAAAAACCTCGGATAAGAGCTGAGCCTGACGAGAGATATCATCTGGGGAAGCGCCAGAAGAGCCGCCGTTTTGACCATTACCACCGCTATTGGTGTTACTATTTTGATTAACTGGATCTCTGGTTTCGGATTTCGGACTAGACGTGGAATGAGGTTTCGAGGCTGCTTCTGAGACGGGAGGAGGTGCCACTGGAGCCGGAGGCTGAAGAGTTGGCTCGGAAACGGCGGCGGAAGCCGTGTTGGGAGAAGGAGAGTAGCGGTGGAGGCGATCGTCGGCGGGAGTAGTGGACCAGAGCGAACTGTTGAGCCAATCAGGTACTCGCTCCCTCACCATTTCAAGATTAGAATCGAGATTTGATCTTTCGGGAAATCAAAATCAATGAATTAAAATTAGAGAAAATGTGAATAAAATAGGGGTTGTTTAAAGTCGAAGAACATTTGAGTTTCGAGGGCTTCGTGGAGAGTGGAGGTGGAAACAAATATTAGAGTGACAGAGAATTGATAGAGTGGAGCTGAAGAACCAATGGAGATTTTCATTTTAGCATTTCATATTTTTAATTCAATAATAGAATTGAAAAAGACGCTTAATTATCGATTAATCATGTAATCAACAGATTAAAAACAATTTTAAGTTCTTTTTAAGTGATGAAATTTTAATTTTCACGAGTTTGTTTGGGTTGAATTAGTTTAATTCGATTTTTAGACACTAAAATTATTTATAATTGGGCGGAGATGGGAAAGTAATAAAAAACAATAAACTAAACAAACTTTTAGTTTATAATTTTAAGGGTAAACTACTCCAATGGTAACTAATGTTTATGTAATTTTTTGTTTTCACCACTAATGTTTCAAAAGTCACAAATCGGTCACTATCGTTATCGTTGGTTACAAATTGGTCACTCGCCGTTAACAGACGTGACGGAAAACACACGTGGCCTGTTAACAGCAGTTAACAGACTTACATGGATGGTATAATTACACAATTAACCTATGTTATTTATATATTCTTTCAATTTGATCCTAATTTTAATAAATTAAAATATATCTATTTTTAGTTCTTATAAATAATGATATATTTTTATGCAAAATAATTAAATGTTTAAGTCCAACGGATTTAAAAAAAGGAAATAAAAAATTTAAAGTTAGTTATAAAAACACCGATAAATGTAAGATGTATTTGTTTATAGCTTGGAATTAGGAATTATGAGATTTGTTCATGCCTTCTCATTTCAAAATGTTTTCACTTTATCCATGCTTGTTGTATGTGTTACTTGGCTCAGATGTTGAGTACTGGAAATGGAAGTGTTTCAACATGAATAGGTACTTTTTTTTTTCCTTTTACGTTATTCCATATGGTTGGAGGATCATATCTCCCTTCCCATGTCCAAATATATATTGGACCCAAATATCAAACATGGTGCTTTAAGAAAAACGAGCAACATAGTCTCTGTTCTTACTTTTGATTGTCTGCTGTTTGTCAAAGCTTCATTATCACCTGTGATGACTGCTAAACATGTTTTATGTTTATATTGAATAAAACAAACAAACAAACCCGAAACAACAAGACAACTCCATGGGGATTGACTTGGTAATTCAAAGTCGTAGAACCTCCTTACAATTAAGCCAAGGTCTTAATGCCACGCTTATTGTTAACTATTAAGCAACTTGGTGAAGATTTTGTATTGAATGGTGACCAATGGTACACGTTTCAGCTGAGCAAAGGGATCGATTGTTGATGTCCGTGGAGAGACTAAATCAGTCAAGTGACAGAATTAAGGACAATAGAAGAACTGTTCTGGAAATAGAAGAGCTTGGTATCTCTATCCTTGAAGATTTGCATCAATAGCGACAAACTCTCCTGCATGCCCATAACAAGGTCTTGGCTTGTGCTGATTTCTCCAACTTAACTTCGATAACATATCTATCTTTATCACTGAATCCTGATTTCTCTAGTCTCATTTTTGGGTTGGTGACATATTTTGCTTGTTTCGCATACATAATGGAGTTCTCATAGAGATGCAATGAGTTGGGGTTGGTGGGTTTTCGCTCGTCCCACTCTTGACCCAACATTCAAATATTTCACCCGATACCTATTCTGAACTTGAACTTGAACTTGCGTTCTAGCATCTAAATACGACCCTGAAAAACGTAATCACTGAGACCCTGAGCTAACTAAACCGAAAGTATGCGATGACGTCTAGTTAAAACTTTGATGCATAGTGTTATTTTATCAGTGAATCTTCTCATGCATAATTAAATTTTATAAAGATGGCTACTGGTTGGGGTGGATGGAATGTCACCCGTCCCGCCTCTCAACTTACATTAAAATAGTTCACCCGATAACTGTGCCAAACCCGACTCTAATAATGAAAAATCTCTCCAACCCTTCACCATCGCCTTGAAATTTAGCTTCATTTCTACAAGTACAGATACAAACTCAAATACATGAGATAACGTCTATTAAAAACTAAAAAAATCCTAGTTAAAATGTATAAAAGATAGTAATTATAAGTAGTCAGGGTGGGATAGTGATATGATCCCTGGCTTGATTCAACGACTTGCTCCTCGATACGTGATTTCTGCCTGCTTGAAAAATTCCCGAAGGAGAGTAGGGGTCGACTTGAAATCTGTCCGATTCGAACCATTTTACCAACTCTCTCTCAGTAAGTCATAATTGTTTATATTTCTTGTGCTTTTCAGCTTTATGATGTGGATAGCGCCATTGACAAGAGCAAGAAAGTTTGAGCAACCATGTTGAAATGAGAAGGCATGAACAAATCTCATAATTCCTAATTCCAAACTATAAACAAATACATCTTTTAAATTTTTGATTTCCTTTTTTTTTAAAGCCGTTGGACTTAAACATTTATTTATTTTGTATAAAAATATATCATTATTTATAAGAATTAAAAATAAATACATTTTAATTTATTAAAACTAAGATCAAATTGAAAGAATGTATAAATAGAATGGACTATTTGTGTAATTATACCATCCATGTAAGCCTGTTAACAACAGTTACCAGGTCACGGCTGTTAACAACGAGTGACCAATTTGTAACAAACAACAACGTTAGTGACCGATTTGTGACTTTTAAAACATCAATGGTGAAAACGAAAACTTACCCAAACATTAATGATATTAGAGTAGTTTACCCTAATTGTAATCCAACTTGAATATCATATAGCTGAAAACTATTTAGTTTCCAACTTTAAAAAACAATTAATGTGATCTAAATTTAAGATGATTTATTTAATTTGATATGATACACTTAAGATTAATTTTTATATAAAAAGTAAAAATATTTTAATATTTTAATATATATAATACAAATGAAAGATAAATGAAATTTTATATAAATATAAAATACTCAAAACATGATAAAAGCAAAATCAAATGTAAAATCTTATTCCATTCCAAATAATACAACTCTGTTGGTGATAATATTTTATGTTGTGGCAGTTATAAGTTATTCATCTATTTTCATTTGAGTAGAAAACACAATCGATTGTTCATAATGAAACTAAAGATGATTATGATTATACGATTAATGAAGTTCAAGGGTAAGAAGTAGCTAATGAACAAGAATATTGAACCTCTTTTCGAATCACGTCTAATACAAAAATATTATCTTTTAATATTAATGTCAGGTTTAATGTGATGATACTTATTCATAAATTGACAGATTAAATAAATATGATTATTATACAATATATATATCTTTGATAAATTATAAAAATCTTTTAAAAGTTATATTTAAAAACTGTTAATTATCTAATAGACGTAACATTCTAGAGACTTTGCAAAATTTTGAAGATTTTCACATTTAATAAATGAAGGATCGATAAGGGAAGGTTACTTCCGAGAAAGATATGCATGAGGTATGACAAACTCAAAACGATCATTTGTTACCGTATACCTGAGAGAGTACTTTGGGTTTCAACGATTCATGATGCACGAGATCAAAGACAGATGATGTTGAGTTGTCAGATTGTACCTTGATGGCGTTAAGATACCATGAATTGGCAGATCAGCGCAAAGACGGGAGTTGATTGTGATATGTTTCTCATTGGGGCCGTTTTGAGTGCGTTTCAGTCTTTTGACCATAACTTTAGCTACGGGTGTCGGAATCGGCCATAAGACCCCAATTCGGAAAACCCCTTTTGACGCGCACACTGTCCACATTTCAAATTATACTAGTTTTATTTATTTTTTACTATTTATGGTAATATTTCGCTTGTCAGTTAGGAAGTCATTTTAAATTTGATTTGGGCCGGATTTTTTTACAGATTGCTTAATTTATTTTGAATTTCAATTTAGATTGATTTTCGAGATTTTTATATTTTTGGCAAAATTCGGATAAAGACGATTTTTGGCTATAACAGCCCGGCATGTGAACTGATTTTGGCATTGTTTGATTTTATCATATTCCGTTAAATCCTAGAGACTTTTTTTCTCTGGCTTTGGGCGAATTTTCTCTTGTGAATCATCTGTTGGAACTAGCTTGCATGATAATCGTTATCTTATCCGGCGTCAATTCACCTATAAAAAATATTGATATGAAATTAAAAAGATAATTAAATTAATAATTTAAAATATATAAAAAAACACAAATATAGTATTAATATTTTAATTTAATATAATATAAATTGTCAATACACCAAAGTTTATATTCACGTAATAACATAATAAAAAGATATAACAAAACATAGAATACATAAATTATTAAGTATACTCACAATCGTATATCATATATAGTTAAGGATGATTAAATTATTCTACAACGGTCGATGGTGACGTCCGACCACCTTCGGTTTTTATTTTATATTTTTAATTATTTTATATTAAATAACAAAAAAATCATGTCATAAAGAAATAATAATGAAATAATTCAGAGTGATCAAAACAAGAACGATTCAAAAGTTCAGTGAGTAGATTAGAAAAATTAAAAATACAATGAATAAAATAGGAGATAAAACATAGTTAAGTGAGAAATAGTATAATTTACTCTAAGAACAATTACTATACTATTAATGTATATATTTTTAATTGTCGTCTTATCTTACTAAATAAAAATAAAAATATTATTCAAACCAGTTATATAGGATGCATTTTCATTATTCTTTCACTTTCAAATTAAATTTATTAATTATAGAAAAATTGACAAAATTGTTGAGATAATGCTATATAGGATGCATTTTCATTTTTCTTTTACTTTCAAATTAAATTTATTAATTCAAGAAATTATTATTTTACCAATGTGTAATAGATTTAGCTTTTAGACTTTTCTAGAATTTTAGGGATAGTAATATTATGCGGTAATCTATTTTAAGTTTAATTTAAGATGATTCTAATCTAAAATACTAGGGTAAAGTATATAAATGGTCTCACAACTATAAAATATTATTTTGTTTAGTCCTTCAACTATTAAAAGTTATAAAATGGT